AGACCGGCTGGACCGGTTCAACCCATATTTTCATGTTTTAGTCCCGGTTCATGTTCAAGTCTCATTTTTAAGTTAAAATTCTGGGTCCAGTTCAGTTCAGTAAATTAATATCAGTTCAGTTTCATATTTAACCGGTTTATCAGTTCAGTTTCATATTTAACCGGTTTCAGTTATACCAATTAAATCCAAATATCATGTCGAGTCCAGTAGAGCATCTTAACATATTAAACAGATATTTTTATCAGTCTGAGCATAGTACTTAGTAATTGTTTATATTATATTACAGTTTGATCAGACTTCAGATATCAGCACTGCCTTTCATTTTCAAAGAATCAGGTGGGGACTCAGACTGGGTATTACATTGATTATAATTGCTCTACCATGTTTGAGGTATGTATTATCAGTATCCGCTCGGAATGGTCGCCGGTCCATTCTGGGTTCTAGTGGCCTTAGTCTGCCCACTAGAGTGTGCACATGGTGTCCGACATTTTTTTATGCTGGCAGATGTTCAGTTATCAGTCAGGTGATGTTTATCACGAGATCAGTATCAGATTATGATTATTCAGTACCGGTATCAGTTATCAGTTTCAGTTTCAGTTCAGTATCAGTTCAGTTATATATGCCAGGATCATGATATTGTTATTATTTTCACTGTTTACTTTAGTATGAGTTTCTCCGGAGCACAGTGGATTAGTGCTCACGCCCCACATTATTCATGTTTTTCAGGTCACAGGGTCGGAGCCGAGGAGTGAGCTGGCGACCGGTTCAGGACATTTTGTAAATATGTGTATAATCATGTTTTGTCTACACTATGATTTCCGCTACTGTTCAGTTTTCCAAACCAGCTTTTGATCCGACGTTAGTCGGTTATTATGTTATATAACCGTTTTAGTATTAAACTAAAATAACGGTTTTCAGATAAAATCAGATTTCACGGTAACACTCCGAATCAGATTTCGCAAATAAATATTTTTATTTATTTTTATTTAGAAAAATTTGCGAAAAGCGCGCTCTGAATTTCATGAAATAGCGGGGTGTTACATGACATAATATATTGTAATAAGATATGTGTAAGGAAAGAGAGAGAAATATTTTGGGAGTAAGATTTATTGATAATGTTTGAATATTAAATTTACATCATCCTTAATTTTAATTAGGAATAATGAGTTAAATAAACATATAAATCATATATTAAATTTTATATATCATTATAAATGAGAAAATATTAATATTGTCATTCAAAATTATTTTGATACTAATTAATATTTCATTAGTTTAATACATGCAATTATAATTTATTGTCTCATGCATCGCACGGGCTACGTACTAGTCATCACAAATAACACAAACAAAAAATAAATATAATTTAATTAACATTATTCTAATGAAACGTGTTCATTTATTCATGTTATTGTTTAACAAATAAACACAAATATAAACATCACAAAGATATTTAAGATCTCATAACATGAATAACATATATTCATGTATCATATTAAATAATTATCTAAATACCACTTAGATAATTTAAATAATAAAAAAAGAAGGCAAAATATTTCTAAAATATTTATTTACACTTTTTTATCATAATAATAAATATTACGACAATTTCGAAAAGATTTTTGTTTAATGGTGAACATGAATACCAAATAAATATTTAAAACCATAACAATAACAAATATTACTATTAAACAAATAAGTGAAAGAAGAAGATATAATAAAGAAATTGGTAAAATCATTTTTTTTTATCTTATTCACATTAAAATCTTCATTCACGTAATATTAGGCACAAAACTTAATTATTCCTCCTTCCTAATTTTTTTAAGATACTTTGATGATCACAAATTGATGAATGTCACTCATTCTATATTTAACACTTAGTTTATTAAGAGAATGAATTTTATGTAACAAATACATAAATATATTCATTTATAAAAGAAATTTTCGGTGGAATAAACGAGCTTTATACTACTGTTAGTGGTTTTATATATCATATATATAAATATATAAAGGACTTACCTTTATGTGCCGGAAGCAAAAACTTGTCTGTATCTTTTATCCGACAGCTACTAGAGTCGTCGACATCCTCCACGTCCTAAAACCCGAGCCGCCTTGTGATGGTTTCGGCTCAACAAGAGAAAATGCACTAAATAGAGATATATATAGTATTTGTGTTGACCACCTTTTTTACTTTGTATTTCGTTGTTCATGACTCCATTTTTAAGATACACAAAACATCTATTTATATAGTTGTCTCCCGAAGAGACAAATTTAATGAAGATCAAACTCCATAACGTAGTTACTTAACGAGGTTTTGCAACAATGCCATTATGTGGGTGATTAATTAATTTAACTGATGAAATTAATTACAAATAACAATTAAATAGCATAATAAGTTAATTTATGAAACAACATTCATATTTCAAAACACATATAATTTATTTTAATGATTCAATTAATTTATATTAAATATTTAAATATCAATTTCATACTTTGATTTTTTTTATACATGTGTCTAGCTAGGCTTGTTATTCGATTTGAGTTTCAAACTCACTGTCATTTAATAAACAAATACGCATGACTTGACTCGTTTAATACACAAACAAAAAAAAAAAAGTAATATCGACTCGACGTATGTTAACTCAGTTTCACTCATTTAATAAACTCTAAAACCAGTTAAACAAAAATAGTGAACACCCTCACTTGACTTGGTTCGAAGAACAACTCTACGTCGTGCACGTCCTGGTAAAAGATGTTTCCGACTATACTTTGTGTCATACTTTTGTTTATATTATTTTTTTTAAAAAAAAAAAACATGACATTCTTATTATATTAATTAAAAAGTCATAATTGTCAAACATATAAATTAATCTATGTTTGAATGCTAGGAGAATATTTGATACAAAATAAATTAGGATGTATAATTGTGGAGTGAATATATTCAAAATGAAACTTCCCATGTCCCTTTTGGTATTTCACTCATTTCCCAAACCTCCCCCGTTCAACAATAGCATCTTTCGTTTATGGGCTCCATTCATATTACAAAATGACTCCCTTCTTTGAAAGTTCATATTAAATTATTACATTACATATATTTTATTTAAATTTTATTCTTCAAACGCGTTTATATATAGTTGCCCATTACTCATTTTATTCCCTCAACTCGAATCTATTTTCTCCGAAGAAACTCTTTTGTCTCTTTCCATTTTTTTATCACCCTTCTTCCTTTTTCTTTTCTTGCCGGAGACCACGCCATGGACCAAGAAACCATCGTCCCTCAGCCGACGGGCAGTCGCTACGCCTTTAACGGCGAGATGCTTCTCATTGCCGCCATCGTTACCGTCTTCCTCTTCCTCCTCTTGCTTATCGCCTTTCACCTCTACGCCCGCTGGTGGCTCCGCCGCGGCGCCTCCCCCGCTGCCTCCCTGAGCGCCCGCGTCGTGTTCGTCGCCGACGAACGCCGCGCCGGCCTAGATCCGGCGGTCCTGAGCGCGCTCCCGGTTTTTGTATTCTCCGCCGCGCCGCCACAGGAGGGGCGGCCCCTATTGGAGTGCGCCGTGTGCCTGTCGGAGTTCGAGGAAAAGGAAATCGTTCGCCTGCTACCAGGCTGCGGCCACTCCTTCCACATCGAATGCATCGACATGTGGTTCCACTCCCACGCCACCTGCCCCCTCTGCCGCTCCCCGGTAGAGCCTCCGCCGGTCCCGTCCGAGCCGACCGCGGTCGCAGTGGTGGTGGAGGTGGCGGGGGAGGTGGGATCCATCGCGTCCAGGATGTGCGCCGAGTGTAGCGGGAGCAACGCCGGCGCAGCGTCGTCCAGCAGGCGGGGGAAGGCGGTGGATGTAAGGATAGAGGTGGGGCCGTCAAGGCGGGTGGAGCTAGAAAACGAGTTGACTCAGCGCTCGCCCGTGAGCCGGCTGCTATCCTTCAAGAGATTGCTGAGCATGGGAAAGAGATCTCCGCGGGCGGAGAGCAGCAACGGATGTGGGGCCGCCGAGTTGGATTTGGAGGGTGGACTCGGGGAGCCGTCCCGAGTTTACACGCCGAAGTGAGCTGGCTCGCTGCCGATGGCAACATTTTTTAAACTGCGTCATGTGGAGGGGTAAAGGGTCCCTGCACGCGGCAGTTGTTTGTTGACCGTTTTGTATTCCTTTTTTTTTTTTTTGGATGAAATAATCCAGAACGACTGTTTTTGTATTATATATTACATGTGTGTGTGAATATAAGTCAAAGAAATCAGCTGACAGGGCATTGAAAGGTGAAACTCATTTTTATATTCCAATAATCTTGCGAACGTGGTAATATTTATAACGTGTCAACTAATATATCTGCTCTTTGTGGACGCTGATGTCCCCCTGAAATTATAGTTGTACAATATTTGGAGGAAAGTGCTTAGTCTTCCGTCGCGATTTGTAATCGTTAGATCAATTATCTTTGACGGTTATATAATAATTTAATGATCACAAATCCTAATAAAATGATTTCATAACGAAATCTTAGCATTTTTCATATTTGCATCCAATTGTCTAATTTTATTCATATTGTTCTCCATGTGTGCATCATATAAAACATAACAAATTAATCAACAACGATCTTTGAATTTATATCCATATTAATACAAAACAATATATCTATACCTACTAAAAAATTAAATTAATATATAAAATAAATATTATAAAACTATTATCCATTAAACATAGCTAAATATTATAGTGATCGGTGCAATATAGCGTTGTAATTTGAAATAAAAACAATAATACAAATTTTGAAAGAATATTTGAAAATTATAAATAGAAACTTCTATTGTTGTCTGATTAAATCACTACAAAAAAAATAATGAAATTTCAACAAAAATATATTCCAATGAAATTCCAACGACAATTCCAATGGATATTTCAATTTTATTATTGCGGTCGAAATTTTCTAATTGTTTCCAACGAAAATTCCAACAAAAATGTTCCGTTGGATTTTGACAATTCCAACAGAGTTGGAAATAAAAATTTCAACGGTGAAAAGCAATTTGAAAAATAGTCATTGAAATTATCAAATTTCATCTAAATTTCCAATAGAAAACTCACTCCAACTGAATATTTTCGTTAGAATCATTCTAACGGAAGCTATGCCATTGGAATATCTTTTGAAATTTTTATAGAAATATATTACCGAAAAAATTTTCGATGGAATATTACATTTTTTTGTAGTAAAGATATTTTATACAATTTTTAAATTTATTATAAAAAGTAAATATATCTGAGATGAATAAATTGATTTAAATTAAGTGAGTTGGAAAAACTCTTATCTTTTGACAAATATGAAGGATTTCTAGCTATCAAAAATATCGTGGTCCTGTGTAGATATTTTAAATAATACTCATAATCCAATTTTATTGATAAATAATTTAAAGTTTGATAAAGAATAATTGTATTTTTTATATTTTCAAAAATATTTTTCTGTGTTGTACTACTATTATTTATTACCAGTGTAGTGCAAGACAGGATGCGACTGGATAAACCTAATTAAAGCCAAAATTTTCCATGTTTATTCCACTCTAAATTGTTTATTAGCCTCGAGTAAAGTGTTGTAGATTTCCAAAAAAGCGAAAGAAGAAAAGTCTGCATTGACTGAAAAGTCATAATTAAAACATAATATCCGTACGGCCAACTTACTTTTAAAGTTTAAACTAAAATAAAATATTAATGTTATGTTGACCGAGTTCGCTCAAATTATTGAATTCTAATTGAGGAGTAGAGTGAGACAATTTTTAGAGGTACAATATTAATAAAAACCGCATAACGTGCGAAGAGAAGCAGTCAAAGGCTGAATAGTACAACTGAAGACTGAAAAAATTGGGAGTCAAATCCAAAGATCGCATAAAGCATGACCTAATGACACTAGAATAACAAAGCTCACAAACTACACCAACCAACAATACCGACACAAACTAAAAACTAAAAAGAAGGCTCCCGACAGGAGAATACCTGAGTGTCGGCTCCCAACAGGAGAATAAATTTGACACTCAGGTGCACAGAGGCCAAGTAGCTCAAACTAAAAACACAAGACCCAAGAACAAAACTAACACGAACTCGAACAGAAACAAAATAACTAAATAGATACTAAATAGAATATGGCCTTCCCAGGCAACACACGAGCCCAAAACCAGTAGAGAATCAGTCGGTCTAAGAAGATCCCAAGCCCGAGGAACTGCTACGAAACTGCGAGACCGCCTATACAGCAACCGAACCCGATCTCCGAAACCATCTCAAATCAACCCACCATCAACCGAGAGAACAAGACCCGATCCCAACACCAGCACAACCTAACACGCCTAACACCACTAGCCGAAATCGGGAGCACCGGACCCCACCTTCCCCAACACCAGAGGAACAGTGGGGTGAGAGCAGCCCTGCCCTACAACACCAGCATCCGAAATACCGGGTGTCGCAGCCACCAGGGTCCCGTTCTGACCACCAACCACCACCACCCAATCTCGCCACAAACTATCGGAAAATGGACCCCCGCACTACCCCCGGAGGCTCCAACATCAGAAGCGACCAGAGGTCCTCGAACGCAAAACAAGAGGAAGATCAAGGGGCAGAACCCCTCCAATCGGAGACCCATCGGCGGAGAACGGCCATCGGACTCAGATCGAGAGCCCACCGCCCCAATCGGGGTCTCGTTGACAACTGAGGGCGGCGAAACCATCTCCAACAACTGCAGCGAAAAGGGGAAGGTGCGACGTCAGGGACAGAATGGCCGGTCAACGGCGACCACCGGCTCGAGCCTTGCCGTCGACGAGGAGGCCGGAGCGGCGCAAATCGGCTTCTGCAAGAGAGAGGAACGAGTTTCGTCAAAGTCGCGAGAGAGTGTTTTTTTCGAGTGAGACAATTTGACCACCTTTCTTTATTACATGATGAAAAATAAGTGGACTAGTGGAGCAAGGTATAACGTTAAACCTTTTATTTTATTTTATTTTATTATTTTTTTTATACAAAACTTTAAACCTTTTATTCATAGTTTTAAATCTGGCCCGAAACTAGTACCACTCAGATCCTTAATCATTATGTCGAAACACATCCACCTGCAGGGCTTGACATAATATTCATTCCTCAGCTCGTTTCGAGAACGTCATCAACCCAGCGCACTGGGACATAGTGACCGTAAATAATTTATAACAACACATCATATAAACACACTTATTTACCAAAATACCGAGTATTAAATATTCCTTATAGAATATTACCTAAGGTTAGGAGACTATAGAGTCTTCTAAAAGGTAATTAAATATTAGGAATATTATCCTAGATGGTAAAAGGAGATGGAAGATAATAAGGATTCCTAAACCTAAAGTAATAAGCCCATATTTAGCACCTCCTTTTGGTCCCTATTGTAGCTTATAAATACACAAGTCCCCTAGCCTCTTGAAAAGTGTATCACACGTTTTCTTCTCCCCGAAGGGCTGGAGAAATTCGGCCTCTTCAAGTGAGAAAGAAAGAGAGAGATTCTTCTTCGAGAAAAAATTTGGTTAGCACCGTAAGGTCTTAGAAGAAGATGATTGAGAAGCTTTGGGAAATCTAATAAATCGCTCCACCAAGATTTATTAGAGATCGTGTAAATGTCATACAATAGAAGATTCGAAGGTTGTTATTTGTATCCCGTTGAATATATATATGCGTTCATCCCGTCGAATATATACATCCCCGCAGCACCACCGATGGCCACCAAATCAGGAGAGGATGACCACCGGAGCAACAGGAGATCGCCGACGTAATTCTGGTGACCAGCCGCCGCCGCACGCGCTGGAGCTAGAGCCACACGCGCCGCCTCAGCACTGTCTGCGCCCGCCTATGCGCAACCGCGCAGACAGACGCCCAACACCGCGCACGACCGCGCAGAGAGACGCACAGCACCGCGTTCCTCGTGCACGCCAGCAGTCCAGTGCTACGCTGTGCGCCAACGTTCATCGCACGCCCCGCCACGGGCGAAGCTCTATAAGCTTGAGTAAAGAGAGCGTTGCACGCTGAACTCCCAGGCTATTTCATCAGGGCGCCTGTCGTGTTCCAGCTGTTAGAGTAGGATACCCGGCGTTCCAATCAGATTGGACGTATTCTACTTGTAAATACAATCTATTGAAATTATATTAATTAAAAGACATTACTTTATTTTAAGAATAAGCATTTATCTTATATTTGCACTTAAGATAAAGTCCCTAGATCACTTATAGCTATAAGGTATGGTTGTGCATAGAGATGGTGATCATGGAATATATCTTAAAAGCTGTGATCTTAAATACAGTTCCAAGTCGTTGGATGTTTCGAGATGGGATATCGAATAAATCTGGAAAAGACTTGCACATATGATGTATGCTTGTTGGACAAGAATGTTGCATTACATCAACATTAGCGTGGGACGCAAATACATATATGTGGGTGCTTGTTAGAGAACAAGTTCACTGAATATGACCGTATGAAAATTCTTAATGTAAGATTTTTCTTGTTGAATAAGAATTTTCATGTTACAATAGTACATGACTAATCCTTATACTCTAGGCACGATGGTAACTTTGTGCATATTATATTTTACTTTGATTTATCCTTTTGATT